GAGAGAGAGAGAGAGAGAGAGAGAGAGAGAGAATGAACGTTTGTGTCCCCTTGCACATTAGAGAAGAAAAGGTGTTATTCAATCATAGTGTTAAATGTTCTAAATTATTCCGAGTTGTAAAAAAAAGTAGTGAATAGTGGACTTTCTCAAAACAGAGATTCTGGGTGCTGTCTGTATTAACAGCTAGCTTTTTGGGATTCTTGTGTGGATCTGTTTTGGCACAGTGTTGCATAATTATTTTTATCGTGGGATCAAATCTGAGTCATTCAGTGCCGGAGTCTTCCAGGCGCTGATATGACACCAGGTGTTGTCAGTGCATGTCTTTCTTCTTGGATCACTGCTCACACTGTGTCTCAGCATAAGGGCCTCCTAGACTTAGTACAGGTGAGGTTGGAGTTTACTCATATATGTATGTTTTCTAACAGCAAAGCCTACCCTCCTGCTGAAAATTATAATAAATTGACTGAATGTTTTTATTTTATAATCCTCAAATTGAGAAATTCTGTTTTTGGAAGTAAGTTATCTGTCAACTATGTTTAAATAGAAAAAAAGATTGAGAACCCCAGCTTGTGTCTTTAGAATTTAATTTTTACTTATACCAACTACCAAAAGAAATTTAAAGTATAGTTTTATAATTCTAAGGTATTAATAATATTTAGAATAAATATTTTTTTGTTTTACTAATTTAATAGAAATAAGCATGTGTTGTCTTAATGCTACTTGACCCTTAATTCACTGCACGAATAGTTGAGTGTTTTTGTGTTTGTTCTCTTTCTCTTGCAGGTGCTGGTCTCAGTGTCAGTGATAATGAATCTGGTCAAGGCAGCCAGGAGGGAGGCACCTTGACTGACTCCCAGATTGTAGAACTCAGGAGAATACCGATCGCTGACACCCATCTCTAGCAACTCAGTAAACATTAGAATGAGGATACTTTCATATTTGTATTGGCTCTGTGCTAAAACTCTATAAGTACATGCAGCTGTATAATAGGAAACTGTGAATTGCACTGGATGATTAACCCAGAAGTGATTGTTGTGTTGGAATATAAATTACTTATCCTTGTGCACCCTGAAAATTCACTGCTACAATGAAAGCCTGGGTCAATTTATATCAGTTAATAGGATGTACATATTCCAGGAATATTAGTTGGTTTTTTTAATCATCCTACGTGGCTAACATTGTTTAATAGAAGTAGTAATAATCAATAAAAACAGTAGAATCAATTTGGTATCACCTGGACTCATTATTGTGAGGAAATGTGCATGAGCAAAAAAAGAAACTCCATGTTTAGATCATGTCAAGCACCCTGTTTCTTCTAGCATTGATATAGATGATCCAGATTCAAGACTTCACAGCGTCTAGAAGACTTTCATTCCTAAAAACCATAAAATGTATTGCCTGTTGACGGGGGTACTGCAGTTTGCATAGTCTTTCATCGAAAGTATGTATTTCTGCTCATTATAAAATTAGGGAACTGAACATTTTCCAAAATGAATGTTCTGTTCCCAGTTAAAAATAACTCCAGCAAGCATTTTAGCACAGCTAAGAAGAGGATTATTCAAATAGTACAGTTTGTTTGGGAGAAATATTTCTTGGATTTTTCATCCTTTCTTTGTCTTGGAATGAGAAATCAGAAAGTCTGTCCCAGAACAAACACTATTGTGTTTGTGATGATTTCATTGACTATGATTCCAGAAAAATCATTAGGAACAGAACAAGTTTGTCCTAAGGAAGCTTTTTTGACCTTTTATTTTGGAATTGTTAAGTATTTTGGAGAAAATCAGTATCATCCCAAGAAAAAAAATTGAAAAAAAAGATTAGAGAAAATTTTTTATCTGTTAATTATTTCCCTTAGAGCCTTAATGAAAAGACCTATGTGCTCTATCATTGCTGTTAAGCATGGCTTTTTATAAAACCTGAGGTGGCATTATTTATGTTGGTAAAGTATAAAATGACTCCTCTCTTCTTCCTGTTTGTCCTCCCCCACTTCCATCTCCTCCCTCTTATTCTGAGTTTTGATCAGTGTATTGTCATTGTAGGTATAAAATAAAAGCTGCATAACAAAATCAAACCATAAAAAACAATGACTGCATCATTGGTAGAGTTATAATGTTTTAGGAGCTTTACAAATGGTGGTGATAAGATTGAATTTACCTTAAGCAACAAGTTATTTGTGTCTTTTCACCCATAGCATTGCACCATAGTCTGTTTTATTTTAATAAGCCCCAAATTGAGAATTGCTGTTGTTGGGAGTAAGTTATACCTGTCAACCATGTGGAAACAGAAAAAAATAATTGAGAACCCAAACTTGTGTCTTTAGAAATTAAAGGGTAGAAGCAATTGATGAAATTGGTTAGAATATATAAAATTTAAGATGAAAATTTAGAAATTGGTAAGCATGCTAACATTGTTAATAGGTTTTAATGAATTTGGGGCTTAGGTAGTGATTACAGAAATGTGAGATTTCATCATGTGGAATCCATGAGTCATAATCACTGTAACATTTTTTGCAGATAACTAGATGTCTAATTCTCTAACAAAAGCAATTGCCAATAGCTATTTTCATTTCTACACGTTGTCAAAATCTGGGAAAATCCAAAAACATGACCAATCCGAGACACCGCTCTCCAGGTTACTGGGTTTTCATTGCTGTCCAAATGGCCATCTTGATAAGGAATCAAAAGGACCACCTGCCACTATTCAGCATGATTCTTTTAAATATTGGAAGGGAAAAACAAGATTTCTAAAGGCATAGTGCTAAAACAAATAAGCTTCATATTCCAACAGCAGCAATATTTTGCCATCCTGTTTCCTCCCAGTGTAGATTAAAAATGGACGTCTGCCAGGGAAGCACAGCACTTTGGAGGAAGAAGCAAATCACATAAAATTCTTAAAAATGAAAACTAAAAGGCTAGGACTATAACACTTTGAATATGGTCTTTCTCTTTCAGATTTGATCCCCTTTTTCTCCATGATATTTTAAAAATATCTTTATTAATATATAATTCACATCCCACACAAGTCACCTATTTAAAGTGTGCAATTGAAAAATATTTGGTATATTACATTATTGAGTTTTTTTAATTGTGGTAAAATATATGTAATACAATTTGCCATTTTAACCATTTTTACATATAATTTTTAAATTCAGCGGCACTGGTTACATTCACAATGGATGTAATCAACTATCACTTCTATTTCCCAAACTTTTTCATCACCCCAAACAGAAACTCTGTATTCCCCATCTCTATAACATTTTCTTTCCTCTGTCAATAGATACCTAATATTTCTCTGGGCAATGTCTCTGCTTCTATATTTTTGTTGTTTTTAGTTTGTTTCTGTTTTAGGTTTTTTCCAACTTTTATTTTTTAGGATGTTAAAAAAAGGAGTTTTCTATATAATTTGGATGCAAGTGCAGCAGGTATGCAGTTAGAGTATGGGGTAGCAGTGGATTTGGTGGAATTCCTACTAAGATGGGAAAGCAGGCAAATAAAAATTTTAGTAAGCAAAACACAGAAAGAATTTCACTCAGGAATGTCAGCTTTGAGTTGGTTTTTAACCTCTTGAGGTGTGTTAGAGTTTAATCCATATTTTCCACATCCCCCAAATCTGATTAGTGAAGTTTAAACATGAAATGGAGGCAGTACTGGAAAAAAGAAAATGCTATTTAGGAACACAGCTTCCAAACAATTTCACTTTCTTTTTCTTTCTTTCTTTTTTTTTTTTTTTCCACTTAGTATCTTCCTTGAGTTTAGCCTTAAGGCCTCTGGATAGATCTCTTTGAGGGTGGATCTCCATCAGATAAGTAAATGGCGTTGACCTTTTCAAAGGAGCTGGATGCCAGACTGGATCTCCTCTAAGTAGCCTAATCTGAGTGGGAACCAAGAAGGCACCAAGGGCACTGCTACCAGTAGAGTATGTGTATGTTTCCTATGGACCTTTAATTGTTAATGGCATGAACCCACCCTCCCTAGTGTTTCTCTAGCAGGATGCAAGAAGAAGAGCCACATTGCCCAGAAGTAGCCTTTAAAGAATACACATAGTGACCAAGGTTGGGAACTCTTCCATTATCTTCAATTTTGACCAGTCTTTTTGACTGACTAGTGAAATAAAGTATAAGTTCAACAAAGAACAACTCAGATATTCACTAATGCTTCAGTATCATTGATTTAGGATTAATAAACATCTTTTACTTAAGTAAATTACCTGACTTCAGGAGAAGCAGCAAATGGAGAACCTGTCTCCGATCATGTATGACAAGAGGGTGCAGTTACCCAATACCGCACTGTGGTCTGTGGGAGAACCAACTGCAGGGCTTCGGTTCAATTCCCAGCTCCACCCCTGCCAGGGACTCACCGCTTTCACTGGGCTGTGAGCCTCAAGATTATAGCGTTGAAGTCCCTAACAGTGACTCAGCTCAAGGAAGTCGTTAGCAATATCACTACATGACGTAGTATTTTAGTTCTGTGAGAAAACATAAGTAATCACTTTCCTAATAGATAAAAAGATTCAAATTTAAGCAGGGTACACTGTACTTTTTGCTAGTGATAAGACCTTGGGAGTTTATGAGCAAAATCATAAATTTGATTTTTTTTAAATTTAGGAATGTACTGATAGCATTTGTTTTATAACACTAATAAAGGAAAGAGATAATGCAAATCATTTCAACATCACTTGTTTTGAATCTGGAGTATGATTATATTTATTTTAAGGGTAAGGGTGTGTGTGGAGGCCGGTGGGGCGGGGGAGGGGGGGAGAAAGAGAGAGAGCTTTTAAAAGTCCTGGTGGGAATTGAGAACAAGAGAAGCAGTGAAAATCATGGTAATAATTTCTATTACAGTTTACAATAGATGATTTAAAGATATTTTGAAAAGTTGATTCATGAAGTGAATGAAACAGTTCTTCATCCCGCCCCATAGTATATATCCGCACTCTGTACATCCATCAATATCATTTTGAAGACTTTTGCCACATTACCAGAGGGAAGTATAATCATTTAATAAAAGACTTAAAAAAGGAGGTGAGAATCCTAAAACAAAAAGATGCTGAAGAACCATCAGGGGCATTATGGTATATAATAAATGGGTGGTTTTCTCTTTTTAAATACCTTTATCTTCAAGTTTCATCCATGTGGTCACATTTGGCATAACTTCTTTTTTAAAGCTGAAGAGCATCCACTGTATGTGGATACCACATTTCCTTTAGCCATTCATCTGTTGATGGGCGTTTGGGTTTCCATATCTTGGCTACTTGTGAATAATGCTGTCATGAACATGAGAATACGAATATCTCTTTTACCTGATTTCAGTTCTTTTGGATAAATACCAAGAGGTGAGAGTGCTGAATCACATGGTAGTTCAATTTTTATTTTTTTTAAGGAAACTCCCTAATGTTTTCCATAGCAGCTGTACTGTTTTGCATTCCAACCAAAAGTGTACATGGATTCCCAGTTTCTCCACATCCTCGCCAACACTTGCTATCTTTTGGTTTTTTTGATAACTATCCTGACAGGTGTGAGGTTTGATATCATGTGGGTTTGATTTGCATTTTCCTGATGACTAGTCATGATAATTTTGTGTATACTTGTTGGACATTTGTATGTCTTCTTTGGAGAAATGTCTATTCAAGTACTTAGCCCATATTTTAATTGGGTTATTAGTTGTTTTGCTGTTGAGCTGTAGTAGTTCTTTATACTTTGGAGATTAACTTCTTGTCAGATATGTAGTTTGCAAATATTTTCTCCCATTCTATTCCATAAGTTGCCCTTTTATTCTATTCATAAGTGAAATAAGCCAGTGACAGACAAATACTGCATGATTCCACTTATATGAGGTATCTAAAATAGTCAGATTCATAGAATAAAAGAGTGGAACGGTGGTTGCCTGGGGCTGAGGAAAGGGAGAAATTGGGAGTTACTAATCAATGGACATAATAACATTTCATTTAGGCAAGATGAATAAGTTCTAGAGATCTGCTGTCCAACATTGTACTTTTAGTCAATAGTACTGTATGGTACACTTAAAATTTTGTTAAGAGGGTAGATCTCATGTTATATGTTCTTACTGCAATAAAATAAAAATTAATTTGCTAACAGGGCTGCTTGATCATTATCCTTTACTACGAGCGCTGGACTTGCGTGAAGAAGGAACTTCATGCTCCTGAAGCCCATGAAAACATATTTTCCAGGTAAGTATGAGAACAATTGTAGATTATAACCCTTTGG